AATAAAAATTCTATTTTAAAATTACAACATAATCCCGCTTTCATACATATATATGAATCTATGTACATCCATTTCTCGCGAGCGTTACGTCTTTTTTCTCGAGATCTCGCATCATGAGAATTTCGTGCAATTTGAATACACATAATTTTCCACAAGTACGCAAATAAACAACAGCAAACTCATTGACAAAAAGAAAAAGAAAAACTCACAGACAAAAGAAAAACAAATAATGATGATAATAATAATAATAAGGACAGGAATAGCAATAATAATAATAAGCGCAAACTTTTTCGCAAGACTGGCTTTTATTTATCACGTATGGCAGTGTCACGTATACGCTCTGACTCAACTACATGTTGAACAGAATTAAAATTACATTCGAGCTCCTTTGAAACCATTCCAAAGATTTATTTTTTCTTTCTAAGTATATTAACTACGTGGGCATTTTGTCATGACAGTTGCAAGTAGTTGTACGCTTTCGAGTAATATCACTCAGTCTATTTACATACACGTGTATCTATGAAGAGAACAGTTTTACTCAAGAAGAGGATATCTATCTATCTATCTATCTATCTAGAACAAACTCTTCATTCCTTCCTTTCTAACACATTCTATCTACCTCATTCTGTTCATTATCTATCTATCTATCTATCTATCTATCTATCTATCTATCTATCTATCTCATTCTGTACATATCTATCTAATTCAATTCATATCTATCTATCTATCTATCTATCTATCTATCTATCTATCTATCTATCTCATTCTATACATAGATAGATATGTACAGAATGAGATAGATAGATAGATATATATAGATAGAATTCATATCTATCTATCTATCTATCTATCTATCTATCTATCTATCTATCTATCTATTCGGGAGGTCGATACCCCCGGAGTGGTGTAATCTGAGGTCGGCCGATAGCATGTACGGCGGCATTTCGCGAGCCGGTTTACCAAGTAGTTCTCTTTCGCAACTATCTGGCTAGCTGTGAGGGGAGATCACGGAGGGCGAAGCTTACGGTTTTGTGCCTGGAAGGCGGTCGATTGTCCGGGGACCTTTGGTTGAACTGACGGGTCCGTCCTCATTCTCGGAGTGTGGTTCAGGCCCAGCTTGAGAAAAATTTGTTATAAGTACAGGCAAAGGTCAGAGTGGCGGTCAAGACTTTACTCCGAAGGCAATTGTCCTTGAAGGGTAGGGCTGAGGCGTGTGCCCTTTACGTTTTTCCTTTCATCTTTTACCAGTCGTCTGTACTTCGTCTCTGTAAGTGATATAAGCGCTTGTTCTCCAATCTCTTGTGGGATGGTGGAAAGCATAATTTCGAGAGAGATGTCTCTGCCCAACGTCCGTTTCATGGAGGATAGGGAATGCCACACTTGGCGAGTCACTGACCTCACATTTGGCTTTCTCACGCTGTGCATTGACGGAGGACTCGATCTTGGAAGAGGGTGTTAGGTTCGCCTTCCTCAGCCTTACCATCACTCCCCCCGTTTTATAGGCCTGGGAAAAAATTCCTCGTAGACCCTGCATATACGGGGTCGAGTTTGTCTACCTGCCCAGACAAGACTCTGCCCATAGGCATAGACTCTTACGGGTTCCTCTTTGCCCGAAGATAGAGAGTTCGACAAGCCTGGCAGCGAACTGCCTGATTGCGGTTTGACTCCTACAAATTTCATACCATGGAATTATTTGTAGCATTGTATTAGATCATAAAGTTACCGGGTGTGTACTCTTTACTCCACAACACCCCCCTTTTGAGATTACTACTTTATTAAGTAATATTTTTTTTTAGTATTAATATCTCCCCACCCACCTCGCCAACGTATTTTACTTTGTACTGTTTCCGTATCGGACCCACTTTTAGTTGGTTCCACGATTTGTTTTGGTACTGGCACATAAAAAATGGCATACATTTTAACCGCTTCTCCAGGTTATTCATCAGTTAATCTTTTCTTCAGCTGATCTTGGTGCTTTTTATGTTGGATTTTTTTCCTTTTACCATGGAGAGACCATTTTTTCGATTCAAGCTGATATTATACCGTTTTCCCATGTTTTCTTTCCATCCTTGTATGTTCTAAACAATACTTTATCGCCGACCTTGAAAGTATTGGTGTCGCGTTTATGAACTGTTCGTGATTTTCGACTTGGCAATAACTTGTCAAACACCGATTTTATTCTTCTGGCAAACATTAATTCCGCCGGCGACATGCCTGATGCTGTGTTGTGGTAAGGTGTAACCGGTATACTCTCATAAAATGTTAAAGAGACTCCTCATTTTAATTTGTCCAGATTATTTTTTCAACGGACTTTTAACGTTTTCACAAATCGTTAGACTTTGGGTGATACGGTGAATTTGTAATATGTTCTATAGGGAACAATTTGCAAAAGTCTTGAAATTGTTTCTATTGAATTGCATTGCAATTTCCGATATTACGGTATCTATTATGCCATATCTCGCAAACAGTTCATTCAAGAAATCCCTTGTCATAAAACAGAACATAAGGAAAACATTTTTTTTAATTCTTCCTTCAGTTTTTCACTGTGGCTTTTTAAATTTGTCGCTTGTTAGCTTACATTTTTATAATAAGTGTTTATCGATAAATCCCACAGTGCGAATAGTTCCATCCAGTCCGTACCGAATAGATTCGTCGCATTTCTTAGAACATAAGTGTTGTGGGGACCTACCAACAAATGGACTCTTCCATGCCTATATAATATGGCTACCAACTCTGAGTAGAGGAAGTCACCGAGTGAGAGTCACCGAATAGAGACACCGAGTGAGTGAGTGAGTGAGTGAGTGAGTGAGGACATCAATGAGAGAAAGTACTCTCCAATCCACATTTACCTTTGTACTACGTTTCCGAGGATATACTATTTAACCTTATATCCGAGTCTGTGTTATCTTTCTATGGTTCTACGCCATAACAATAAGCTTTTGTATTCACCTGTTTATTTCGAAAATAGACATCACATGTTAATTCTCACTCAAATAATTTCTCGACAGAAACTGAAGTTGCGACATTGTAAGTATTTTTAATAAGGGTTTTCCAATTTCTTTCCTTGTCGTTTCGTTTATTATTGAAATGTTTCTACCAGTATCTAGTAACATATTTACTCCCATATTATTGATTTGTACGTTAACAAATTTTGTTTTGTTTTGTGCGTCTATTTTTCCGTTGTTATGTATTAATTTCTTCCTGCGAAATTTTTTCTTTGTTTAGTTCTGCAGAGTTTTTTACCACAGTTATAGCATTCTGCATTTTTCCTTGGACAGTCTTTCCCAAGATGTAATTTTCCACATCTGAAACAAGGTTTTATATTCTTTTCTGTGCATTTTTCCTTAGCTTTTACCAATGTACATTCTATATTCTGATGTTTTTCATCATCATGCTTCAGACTTAGAATTGCTCGGAAATCTTCCACTGTTTCCTGTAGTGTTACCTTATTATTATGCTCAATCTTTGCAAAAATTTTCGTTCGTATTTCAGCATCTTTTTCCACTGATAGACCTTGCACGAAAATTAATGCCATGAACATATCCGGAGTTATTTACTTTAGTTTAAATTGTTCACATTCTCTGTTGACGGTACCCATACGTGACAAAATCTTCACCCATTTTTTTTGATTTCCTCACCTCCAACGAGCATGGAAATAGAGCACTTGTCACAAAAAATTTTCATCAGAATGTGTACTGTGTCTTCAAACCCTATTTCACCTGGTCTCCTCGGTAAAATATAATTGAAGTACTTTTCGTACTCTGTTGAAGCTATTTTTTCACCTGTTTTTTTTTATCTTCCAGGGCACTGCATTCCTGACTAAATCTTTCTTCATGTCTGCGAAAATACGCAGCAAAAGTCAGTCCTTCATCAGGATTGTATACGAATTATGATACGATGTTTTGCATCACATTTAGCGTAAGAGAAGTTGAAGCATTTTTCTTCAAAGCCAATTCCAACAACTCTTGTTGTTTTTGCAACTATAGCAACTGTTGTGTATTTTGTTGTTGTTGTTGTTGTTGAATTTCAAATATTGAAGCTAAAATTGTCTCCATATCTGCAGGAAAAGTTTTTTTTTAAAACCAACGTAATTGAAATTCTTGTAACTCCTGTTGCACACGTATCTCTATCGATAAAAGCAGGATGTGTGTGTGTATGTGTGTGTAACGTATCTCTATCGATAAAAGGCAGGATGTGTGTGTGCGTGTGTGTAACGAATGCACGGCCGCAATTTTCGACGGATTTGCACCAAAATTTACATGCACATGCTCCAAGTTAGCGGGAAGGCCAAGACTGACTTTGCATTTCCCAACTCCCATCGATAGTGGAAATAATCGATTTTTGATGCTTCTACGGCAATTTTCATGTAGTTTGCGGCCATTTTGTACTGGCCAGAGTGAGAGTTTATAGCTGGCTGCCACGAATAGGCAGGAAGATTCTATTGGCCAGCGTGAGAGCCAACAGCTGACTGACACGAATGTTAACTAGCATGCTAGCATGCAAAAAAATCGATAGCTGTATTCGTCACAAATGGGAAAAATTTAAATCTGCATGGCACTTTACTCCAATTGGCTCATTCGCTTGCTTAAACTCAACGTTGATTCTGATTCCGCAGAACTGGGTTGGGTGTGAAAAAAGTACTTGTTGTTAACATTCTTTTTTCATTCGGTTTTTCCAGTTACGAGTCCTTTTTTTTTTTTTTAAAGCTGATCGTTTTGTGTTCATTTTCTTTAGTTCTTTTTTCGTAACAGATTTAATGTTTAGTATAGAGCTTAGAAAAAATTCACAGTGTGAGATAGGCAAGAAGTAAGGCATGTAGCAACATCAGCACGGCAAAGGGCACTCCTTTAAAGGCTAGGAAGGGCAGAAATATTTTAAGTCAAGTGATAGCGATTGCTGTATGAGTCGTACGATTTTTGAATCACGCACGGGCAACGCCGGGCCATGCTGCTAATGAGTTGTTAAAATCTGGTTTCCCACTTTTTATAACTCCAGTTATAATGTGGCGCTTGAGTTCAAGTTCCTCGGCGTCATCTATTATAACTTTAGTTATATTGTTACGATTTTTATCCCGTGCTTGTGTTCGCGTATCTTAGTCGTCAACTATTATAACTTCTTATTGTAAGGTTGTTGTTATAACGCACAGACTCCTACTTAGTATAATGTATTTCGTTAAGTATTCTGTATATGTAATAATTAAGCTATTGTTGAAACGCCTGTATAGTTCGTATGAAGACTAACTCCAGTAAGACTACCTCTTACCATAAAACTCTTTATAGTATTGGACGAGTTCATAGAATCACCGTTGGTGTACTATTTACTCCACAAATCTATCTATCTATCTATCTATCTATCTATCTATCTATCTATCTCATTCAATTAATATCTATTTCATTCTGTTCATTTCTATCTATCTATCTATCTATCTATCTATCTATACACAATATCAGATTTTATGCCTGTCAATGTTTACGCAATAAAGTTGGTAACTGACTGGTTTTGCTAACATATTTCTGTTATAGTCAGCGACTACGGTAGGGTAGTAGAAGTTGCCCGTACTTTAAATATTCCAAACTGGATAATCTCTTCAAAATATAAACAAAAAATTGTAATTACAACCATTTAATAAGATAAGTTACATATAATTTCGTTTTTTTTTTATTAATTTTATTCTTCAAAATTTTAATGACATTTGATTCAAATATATATTCACCATTATTTGCGATCATTTGTTACCAAGATACATTTTAAGTAAAATTCCGTAAGTTTTGATGTGAAAATGTTTTTTGACGAACTCTTGTTGTGGAAGATTTGTTCATCTCCCTGTCTCTCCCTCTCTCTCTCTCTCTCTATATATATATATATATATATATATATATATATATATATATATATATATATAATTCATTCAAATATAAAATTTATCACTTAACTGATTGATGTTTTATTTAACATCCCGTCGCCAGAGTTTCGTAGACAAATCTTTTTTTTTGTAATGGACACGGAAATATACGCCAGTATATATCCAAGCATTACAAGGTCTGTCTTTATAAGCATCAACGAATTTAGTGATCAGGAAGTTAAGTGAGCTGTACAAAATAAAGAACAATAAATCACCACTTAACATTGAGGCTGAACATTTGAAAATAGATTACCTTCTCCATGAATTCAACATGAAATAGAACAGCTTTTTAAAAAATTTCATTAAGGAAGGCAGGAATCAGAAGTGCATCCCTAAGCAGAGAGGTATATCGCCTATGGAAACAAAATTATAGTTCTCAAGACCCACACAAGTACAGAGGTATCTCACTTGGATCCATTACGCTGAAGGTACTAATTGAAATTTTACTATTTCAGGCTCTCACTGCTGTTTGAAAGTCTACTCCAGACGACTGAGTTTGTCTTTCGTTCTGGTAAGGGGTGTAATGGCGGAATATATATCATAAAAAATCAAGAAAATTGCCTACCTTTCAAATAGATAATTGTGTACCTAATATAGTGACCCCACAGCAACATATGACCACATCAATAGAGACCTCGTCTTCTCATCCATCTTTAAAACTCTGACTCAAAGTGAATGCCTTAATCTGATAGAGCAAGTATACCGGTCCACAAATCGAACGTGTCTAGCGAGGACCTCAATGCGTAAATATTCCAGTCGTCATTAGAAATACGACATGGGAGAAAATGAGATACCTAATATATTTAATCCCTTTCTAGACTATGCTCTGCACAGATGTGAAGAAATGGGGACTATTCCATAGCAGATCCCAAACGAATAGCCTTATAGAAAACAACGTTTCTGCTTTCCACTTCAAGGCCAGTGTACAAATGATTAATCCGGGTTAAGCTCTGCCGTTGAAATAGCTATTCATGCTTGGGATAATAATAAACTCGAACTAAAAATCAACAACCTCTACTAAGTGTTGTAGGAAATAGAAATTAAGATATACGTTTCCAAAGAAGGAACAAAAAATGAAATTGGAATGAAAGCAGTGATGGCATAATAGTTCCGGGGGTAGAATTAGTAAATACTAAAAACTTCAGATATATCGGTGCACGCACGCACGCACGCACGCACGCACGCACGCACGCACGCACGCACGCACGCACGCACACACACACACACACACACACACACACACACACACACACACACACAAGGGAAAACGACTGATGTGTTTTAAAAAACATTTGGGGAAACGTGAAGGGTTGAACATTACAATATATTAAGTAATACACAGACAACAATGTGATGATAGTCTGTTTCCGTTTACATGGATGATTTCTATGCAACGATAAACACGTGAATATAAGACGCTGGAAGCGAAAATCACACCACAGCTCATGACGTCACACATGACCACGCGAGAGTGAATTCAAGAAGTATTAAGTATGGGAAGACGTTGGTATAAACCAATGGCTTCTGTTACCAATTATAGACATTTAAGGATATTTATGGAGATTACATAGTTTATTTTGTTTAGGTTAGGTTTCAACTGTTTTATGTATATAGCTTCAAGAATTTTTAGCTTTTGTTTATTGTTTAAGTATAATTGTGTTTTGGACAAGGATTTTACGAAAATGTGTATGCTGCCAGGCATGTTGTTTTAAATGCCTAAAAATGTTAGAGTTTTCATTCAAATTTAGTATCAAGCGTCGTGAAAGCGAGTTTGTGGTGTGACCAACATAAATATTATTTAATTCGTTGGATATACAATCTCCCAAAAGGCACTTGAATTTGTAAACTATGTTGGTTTTTTGCAAATCGCTATATATATATATATATATATATATATATATATATATAGGCAGAATATCTTCATTCAAACATGTTTTTTTTAATAATGTAAGCATATTATAGCTATTTATATTTTATAATAATCCTTTTCCAGTTCTCTAATCAGTTTCTAGATGTTAAGATGAAATACATCAAGGAAGGCGCCGTAGTTTTTTTTCCTATCCAAGTACTTTTGATCTCCTCCAAGATCATCATCAGGGGTGAATTACAAAGAAAAACTTCTTGTAACTGCGATATAATCTACATTTCGATGTGATGTTCATTTTTGCAAAACGAGCTCTTTTATAATTATTTTAAAATTTAAAATTTATCCGTTGTAGCTATGGAATTGTTTTGCAAAACAACCGTCCCAATTGTCAAAATATTGTACCTAAACAATCAACATGCTTCAGATATATTTATGATGCTCTATTAATATATTCTCATGATACTGATTTACTTGATTTTGTAGATGCGCTAAACAAAGTCGAACATACAATAGGATTTATATACGCAATGGAAAAAAAATACTTTACATTTCTTAGATATCATGCTGCACCGGACAGACAACAGCTTAAAAATTAGTGTCCACTGAAAATCAACCAATAAAAATGATTTCATAAATTTCTATTCCCATCATAAAAATAACATAAAATCCGGAATAATCATCGGATTCTACTTAAGAGCATTCAGAATATGCAGCCCTCAATATTTATAAGAGTAGATATATTTTCAAGACCCCTCCAATACATAACTATTCCATATTCGATGCGAAACAAAAGGCTCATAAAATATTCCAAAATAGAAAAGTAAACCCAACGAATCAAAAAATCATTTGTTCCACCCACTAAATCTATCACAACTACAATTTAAAAGAATTTATCTAAACATAATATTTGTCACGACTACATATCAAACGATAAAAGACTTATTCAATACAAAACAAAACAACGAACCAAAACTTGAAGGAAGAATTTCATCTGCAAGGATTGCTAGAAAAAATGCATTGGAAAAACCCCAAGAAGATTAAATAAAAGATTATATGAACACAAAGGAGAGATTTTAAAAACAACACATTAAATGCATTAGTTGCTCACCTTAACCATGCTGACCACAATTTTGACATAAAAAATAACGCTATGCTAATTAAATGAGAAAATTCATGAAGACGAAAATATTTAGAAAGTGTTTTAATCACTAGTTCATCAACATTAAATTTGCGTCCAGGTTTTTATAACGTTTCAACATCCTTGGCAAAATTTCTGTTATGAAAATGTGAGATGTTTAGTAACAAAGATGATGGAAACAAAAAGAAGAAGAATCCAAATTAAATTGGCGGGATTATGACAAGACACTTGTTAAAAAAATCTTAACTTAAAATTCCCAGCGTCTGATTAGCAAGGTCGAATTTAAAAGCAGTAATTCGACCTTGCTAACCAGATGCTTCTTCTGCAACTAAATAGTATAGCACATCAGACTATACAACGGTTCTATGCAGGATACAGGTTCGATTCCTATCGGAGAACACATATTTTCTATGAAATTTTTCCGACATTCAGGCCATTAAATGTTGTTAATGCTATTTATTATAAACAGAGCATCCACTTAAATATTTGTATCTATAAAAATAACGTATAAAAAATACATATATATGTATGTGTGCGTGTGCGTGTGTGTGTGTGTGTGTGGAATCCAGTTAAAATTGTAGGAAAATCAATAGATTTAACTAGTATAAGTAAGATATCAATTTTGAGCAAAAGTAGGATCACACTGACATCACCTCAATTACGTGTACAAATAGGATCACACGAATATCAAATTCAAATTTCCACATTAGCATTTGCTTAGCATTCCACCGATTAGCGAGGTTGCTTGAGACGCAGCTGAAAATCTTTGAAAAAGCAGAAAATAATGTCGTATGCTCAAGAAAATGAAAGTTCTCATCCAGGAAAATGATTAACAATCTTTACCCTCGTAAAAATCAATATTAGAAATTGAAAAATATATTTATTAACCAATAAAACTTCTAGATTTAGTAAACGTATCTTTTAACATGCTGTGATCCGAAATTTTTCTATAAATAGCGTAACCTAAATAAATAAACTAGTCTTCAGTATACATTAACCTGGATGTGAACAATAGTGATTTCTCAAATTTCGACCCCTCAAAAAACTTATTGAGTACTAAAGTTGCTTTTGTAAAATTATTATTCGCTTAAAAGAAACCAGTATGCACGGTTTATACTACGAAAACACAAAACATTTCGGGCTTAGTTGTCATTAGCCGTATTTGCGCTGATATTTACCTGTTTGACTGATTGCTTCTCCTGCCTCTATATATCCGTTACCCACACATACAAGAGTGTAGATTTTGGCTTATTGCGTGACAATCACGCATATACGTCCCTGTCTGTACTAAAACTTATTCATTTGTTCTTTTGTGTTGTAAAAAAAGCAAAACATTTCCGTATGAACATTGCTCGAGTTTCTTTTCCTAAACGCAATGCTAAAAACCAACTGAACTAGCAACTTCATATCTTATTTCTTTCAGCTTAAAAGAAAACAAAAATTATGTTACATTCAATAATTTCTTGAATTTGTAGACCTGTGTTTGAAGATTATTTCTTTTCTTCACTTTTTACAAACATTACGCCTTCACATACACGCGCGCGCGAGCACATACACACACACACGCGTGCGCACACACACACACATATATGTATGTTTGGTTGAATATCACGGATAAGGAAGTGTGTTGTTTTGTGTTATTTTTACCTTAACAATTTTTATAAGGGTTAAGAATGCGTAAAAAACTCTATTTAGTGCATTTAATGTTTTACATTCTGTTTCTCATGTAAGACTAATTATAAAGCCATTTCCTCTTCTATGTGCCGTATTCATTTTGGATATTGCCAATCATGGCTCTCCTCAATTTCCTGTTCTTTATAGCCCAGTAAATGTTTTCTGTTATCGCTCCAAAACCCTGTTCAGTTACCCATTTACTCAAGTTCGTTAGGTAGTTAACGAGTTGTTTCCCCCTGTCTCTCTTATCTGTCTTGTGGGTATCAAAATTTCCAAGGTCTCTTTCCTTGTTATGTGCCTTAGAAATTTCAACTATGTCTTCCTAATGTTAAGTATAAGTTACCATTTTGTTTCCATTCTCCCTAAACCTTCGTCGTTGCCCACATGTTCGGTCCATGGTCTTCTCATCATCCTTCTGTAGAATCACATTTCTGTTGCCCAGCAATATATATATATATATATATATATATATATATATATCCGTCACATTTGTTAAATCCGGCCGAACAAATAGCGGTACTAAAATAGTCAATGATATTTATGTAGCTCAACCTGTTCATATTATCTATTTTAGTTTATCTTTCGGTATGCTTCCATCTTGTGATTTGTGGTCGCATACTTTTCTATGGACATTTTACATTTTACCACAAGTGTTTATTTTCGATAATGTCTGTCTGGCTCTTTTTTTTAATATTTATAAAACAGGTACCTGGGGCGGTAATTCTGATGGAGAAGCATGTGTCAGTATTAGTGACGAAGTCGAGAGCGGGAAAGAATTTAAAATATTATTTCAAGAATATTTATTTTCTTTTGGTTCTAAACTGATTTAAATTTGATGGTACGTCTTTTTTCAAAAAGTATAAGAAGTACAATCACTAAACTCAAAACTATTACTCTTCATTGAATATATATATATATATATATATATATATATATATATATATATATATATATATATATATAGTCATTCACAGACAGACTGTTTCGCTGTATCACAGCTCTTCAGTGTGGGTAGACGTCCGATTGCTTCAAGCCGGGATCGATTTGGTGGCAGTCAGAGATCCTACCTCTAAGCCGTCGGCACACAGCAGGGAAAGTTTAGTGCTTTCTATACCAAATACGCCATCGGCTAAGAGAACTCAATTCGTACGTGAAGAGTAATGCATTCATAGCAGTAGCAACCACTGTTTTTATTAAATTTACCCTTTTCTTTAGAGAGCTCTATCCGAGAGTATATATATATAATCATCCACAGACAGACTGTTTCTCTGTATCACAGCTCTTCATATATATGTATATATGTATATCCTTTGAGGTTTCTCCTATGTATTTTCGTGACAATTATTACAGGCGATAAACTCCTCCTCTTTCAGGTTTTACCTTTTTGTTTAGTATTTTATTGCTTTGGATGTAGTAGTAACAAATTTTATCTTCTGTTTAGATAGATTCTTTTCGATTGTACATAGGATAGAATTAATAAGCAGGATAATATATTTTTTTTATTCATTGAGTTTTTCAGGAGAGGCCGTTTTTTGTTTTGGAATATTTTATGGGCCTTTTGTTTCGTATTGAATGTAAAATAATTAGGGTACTGGAGAAGTATGAAAGTGTTTTCAATGTATTTCCCCTCTTCGTGTAAATATTTCGTTGAATAAAAAAATACAGGTTGAAGTGTTGAAAATAATTCGTCATACACAAGAATTCGGTGACGCTTTTGACTATCGGGACTGGAAAAAGAGGACAGGGACCCCATCCCCGCCCAAATATGACGACAGTACTCCATTTTCAGCCTGATCTGTAAAAGTAGAGGATAAGCAGGAGGTCTCAGGTAATTACTGGAGCGGTACAGGTGTAATCGAACAACACCCTTCCCGGTGGTTCAAGACTTCCAGCACCGCATCTGATCAGAGAAAATCGCTTCGATCTCAGACCTGCCCTATCCCACGTTGTGATTTAAGTTTGATCATAAGGCAGCCAAGATAGAATCGTCGTAGGTATCTTCGTGTTGGGCTGGGTCAAGCAGGCCGAAGACGTACAGGGAAAAAATAACACTCGAATAAATTGAACAAAAAGTAAATACTGTTTTTATACCAGTCCTTCGTACAATAATTGGTTTATATCAGAGTTCGCATGCAATTAATTATTAGCCCAAACCGCGTCTAAATCGGAAGTTTGTTTTGGCTGTTTTGGTAAAGTTCGGCACAAGGCTGAAGTCGGGGGCTTCTCTTCGGCATGCAATCACAGTAGCTGGAACAAACTCTCTGCCATTTCTCTCCTGACGAATTCACTTCGCGCATTCGTTTTTATCGACATTCGCTCAAACTGGCGGGAGGCACAGCGCATAGGGGGGTTTCGGTAAATCCCTTTCGTTCACAGTTTACTTCATAATTCTGTGGAATTCCCCTCTTCTACTCTCTCATATTATTACCTCTCACTACATCTCCTCAGTGAGGGTGAGTGGCTTATCCACTCCCTCCTGGTAACAATAAATAGTATCACACAGGGAGCCGACCATTTTACCGACATCTTTAGCGATGGATAGTATTTACGAGTTTCACTTGAGTTCATCGGGTACATAAAGATCAGATTAGGTGGCCGTCTATTCGATTTCGCTCGAAGATATTCGTCGTCTGCTGAAATGCCTCAATTTAAACGCAAAAAAACAGCTCACAAAATCTTAAAAACTAAAAAAAAAATATCTTTATAACAAAAATTATACAATATATATATATATATATATATATATATGAGATAGGAAAGAACTGGTTAGGTAAATAATCCAAAGTTTTTTAGTATTTTAGTTATTATTTTTTTAAAATAGTGCGCGAGTTGGAATCATATTTTTAAATAAATAATATATATATATATATATATATATATATATATATATATATAGAGAGAGAGAGAGAGAGATATAAAGAGATATATAGATATGTGTGTGTGGGGGGTTGGTTGGATTAGATTAAGACTCATACAACCCATATATACATACATACACACACGTACACGCACATATATATGAAGTATTTTATTTATTTTTGTTTTATATATGTATATGAAATATTGATATATGTATGTATTTATATATATATGTGCGCGTGTGTATTTATATATATGTATGTATGTGTATATACATATTATGTGTGTGTGTATCTGTGTGCGCGTGTATTTATATATACAGATATATTGCATATCAAATTTGTACATGAAGAATTCCAAGAAATGAAAACCTACCCAAAATTCTTAAAAGATTGCGGCACAGAAATACATACCTATACAAAAGTCACAATGAATATATACTTTTCTTAATATATTTCCCACATCTATCTATCTATCTATCTATCTATCTATCTATCTATCCTTACATCAATAAATATAAGTGTACATTTTAGTACCGTGGGGGAGTCTGTGAAATTCCTTTTATACCTACCATATATTCTATTGTTGAAGAACAAATGTTAAAAAGGATAAGAAAGACGAAAGTGGCTCAGAATAAATGTATTTAAGAATGAGTCTCTGCCGATAAAGTTCAATAGAGTGTTGAAGTTTTTCGCTTGCCGCGTTCATAGATATATTGGCAGAGGACTTGGAAGTGGAAAATAAGTGACCCAGATGCGTATGTATCTATATAAGGTGTATCGCTAGATCAATGAATTTGAAACGAAATCAATCAAAACTTAAGTTACATCACTTTTATGAGTGTGAAAATATGATTTTTTTATATGTGGGAATTCAGTATAGGTACCAATATGAATGCATTCTCTCTCTTTATATATATATATATATATATATATATATATATATATATATATATATATATCTTTTACTTAAACTGTCTTTAACTCACCTCTCTAAAACTTCTCTCTGTTAAGTTTTAATCTCCCACTTTCTCTTGTCTGTTACCCTCTCTTTAGCTCTAACATTCGCCCCACACTCATACTTACACTCTCTCTAAATTCTATTTTTATTTCCGGAGTTGTTTTTCTGTTTTCTTTTTTGAATTTGTAGGTCTGATGAATTGGATCGTATTTACGATTCCAATGGAATAAATTATGACCATGGAATATTAGCGTTTAAGCCTTTTTTTTTATATATATATATATATATATATATATATATATATATATATATATATATATATACGGGGTGCATTCTAGAAGTTACCAGATATTTTCAGGAGAAACGTTTATTAGTTTAAAAAGTTTTCAAAGTATAAAACGCAAATCTTATTCAAAGTATAATTTGCGTGAAGGCTCGATGGAGGTCATCCCAAAAGAAAAATGTCTTTTAAATTTTTTCTTTTGTTTTCTAAAAGAAATCGATTAGATTGTCTACCAAAAACATTTATAAAAACATGCTCAGCGTTCCTTTTTCTTCGTACCCTTGTATCATCGCATAAACATAAACATCACTTTAGTCTGATGAAGTCCTAAATGACGAATCGAAACGTATCACACTAAAACTTTTGCCACTTTGTCATACATTTTCTCCTAAACTTGTCTTGATATATATATATATATATATATATATATATATGTGTGTGTGTGTGTGTGTGTGTGTGTGTGTGTGTGTGTGTGTACATTGAGATCAACACCCAGCGGCCACAGTCTGTTTCATGCTTAAACGCAATTGTCGCCGCTGGGTGTTAACCTCAAATGTCGGAGGACATATTTCCTATGAAATTTCTCGGACATTCAGGCCGGTAAATGTTGTTAATACTGTTTATTATAAACATATATATATATATATATATATATATATATATATATATATATATATATATATATATAGAGAGAGAGAGAGAGAGAGAGAGAGAGAGAGAGAGAGAGATTTGTTTTCTACCAATGCTGATTTGGATTTTAGTGTAGCTCTTTTCACCCTCTATTAAATATTCACGACGCTCTCGTAAAATTAATCCATTATTAGCTTGTCGGAGTATATTCTTTTCAAGAAAATAACTTATCTATCTATCTATCTATCTATCTATCTATCTATCTATCTATCTATCTATTTTGATATATCTACATATGTTTGTATACATAACAAGATTTAAAGGAAAAACCGGCAGTGTAAAAGAAATCTTAAATCCTCTTATATCGACAGCTCAGTATTTCAAATCTATATTTTTAACCTCATTTTTCCTTCTCTTTTTCTATCTACTTCTCCCTCCCTTCCTCTCTCTTCCCTTTACCCTATCTCTCGCCAACTTTCTACCTCTATCTATTTCTCTTCCCCTTTTTCTAAAATCTCCCTCCCTGCTTTTCTCCCTCTCACACCCTCGATCTATCCCTCTCTATTCCTTTCTGCATCTCTCTTCCTTTCTCTCTTCCTCTGTCCCTTCCCCTCTCTTTCTTTTACCATCTCCCTTCCTCTCTACCTCTATCTCCCTTACCCTTTCTCTAATATCTCCATCCTTGCTTTTCTCCCTCTCACGCCCTCTATCTATCCTTCTCTCTTCCTCTCTTAACATCTCTTTCCCTTTCTCTCTTTCTCTGTCTCTTCCGCTCTTTTCAATTTTACCCTCTCCCCCCTCTTTCTACCTCTGTCTATTTCTCTTCCCCTTTCTCTAACATCTCCCTCCCTTCTTTTATTTCTCTTCCTCCCTCTATCTATCCTTCTCTCTTCCAATCTCTACATCTCCCTTCCTTTCTCTGTTCCTCTGTCCCTTCCTGTCTCTTTCTTTTACCAACTCGCCTCCTCTTTCTACCTCTATCTATCTCTCTTTCCCTTTCTCTAACATCTCCCTCCCTGCTTTTCTCCCTCTCGCACTCTCTATCTATCCTTCTCTCTTCCGCTCTCTACATCTCTATCCCTTTCTTTCTTCCTCTATCCCTTCCTTTCTCTTCCTTTTATCCTATCTCCTTTTCTACCTCTATCTCTATCTCCCTTTCTCTAACATCTTCCTCTCTACCTTTCCCAACACTCTGTTACCCCCACTCTCTCCCATCTCTCTCCTGTTTCCTGATTTGTTTATTCGTCTGTATGTATGTTAAGACTTCAAGGCAGAACGACAAGCGTTATCTGAATTCTTAAATATTCCGTGTTTAAACAGTTGAGTTGACGCACTAAATCCGTTTTTAGACAAAATCCCCTCTCCTCTCTCTCTTCCCTCGCCTCTTCTCTCCCCTCTCTATCCATCTCTTTCTTCTTGTCTCTCCTCTTGTCCATTCTCTCCACTTCTCCTGCTGTCTCAGTATAACTTTTAAGATCATGCCCTCAACCTTTAATTGTATGTTCTCACAGCTGAATGTTATATAATACTTCCTCCTATTCCTCCCCATGACATAATATCAGAGTAATCGCAGCCAATGTCATAATTCGGTTGCAATGTTCTCGATAATATATGCACCGTAAGCAAAAAACATACAACGACTGATATGGACGTTTGTTGTATTTTTTTTTGTTTTTGTTTTTGTTTTGTCCTCAGTGGTCAGTTTTTCCGTCCTCTGTGTTCGTGATTTTTCTTTATTTACGAGCGTTCAGTTTTAATGTCACAGGCGAAATCCAAAACCTGTCCACCTTTTGTTTTACATGGAAGATGATTTTGAACTGAATGCGCCCTTTCGTTGCGCTGATTGCCTAACATCCTGTGAGAATATGAAAGTGTGGGTTTTCTATGAGTAGAAAGAGTGAAGTGCCTTTCTGGAAAATATACTGCTGGAATAATGACAATAACGTCGGAATGGCACGCTATTTCGTTGAGGCCAAATTTCTGAGAAGGTTTTAGCGCGTTTACTGGTCAGGTTTTGTCATATATATATATATATATATATATATATATATATATATATATATATATATATATATATATCTTGCTGGACAATCTTTCTTTCACAGAGGAAGAAGAGACTTGAAACAACAAAAATGTGATCCTATAGAAGGATGATGAGAAGACCATGGACCGAACATGTGGGCAACGACGAAGGTTTAGGGAGAATGGAAATGTCCAAATCGTGGAACAGAAAAATGCAAAATTGTCTATTGTTAGATTAACTTTGAACCGTTGTATCTTAGAAATGATTAAAGATATCTTACTGGAATTCTCCGAGGTTTTTATAACACTATTGGATTCTTCTTTGAACAGTAAGAATCTATTTAGCTCTAATTTCAAATGATGAACCCTTATGCTGTTGGGACCTCCTAATCCAGTTTTCCTCTCTAATCATCTCTTTTTAAAAAACTAATTCAGTGTTCCCTGGATGGTTCTTGAATATACTTCGAAGCTTGAAGCCAGAGTATGAATCTTCGTACCTTTACTGAAAGTCTGAGTGATGTTTTTCCTCTCACCATTGCTCCGTTGGGAAGACATAGTGGGGCTGATACAAAACGATTTTAATCTGTTCTCTTTCTAGCTGAATAACTGAAAGGATTTTTCAATGATACTTATGAAAAATTGTGACAAGATGGCTAAACGTCTTATCTGAAAACCTGGAAAAACTCGATTAGTTTTTTAGATATTAAACATTTTGTGGGATGGGATATTATCGCATGCTGTTACATGATTTGTACAATTTTGCTGTTAAACCGATATATATATATATATATATATATATATATATATATATATATATATATATATATGCGTATCAAATGCATCTCATCAGGTGATTTTAAATTACTGGCGAGTGAACAATTTACAATCGCCTGATGAGATGAATTGATACGCATCGAAACACAACTGCAATTGTGTAGCGATTTTCACATGTTTTCTGTGTAATATTCTAAAATAAATAATATTGCTACTTGAGTGCTATTTTAAATTAAATTTTACGAACGTTGGAACTGTACTCTATTCATTCTCATCTTACATATCTCATATTCGTTCTCATCTCATATATATATATATATATATATATATATATATATATATATATCGTTCTCATCTATATATATATATATATATATATATACTAGCAGCATGGCCCGGCGTTGCCCGTGCTTGATTAAAAAAATCGTGCGACTCATACAGCAATCGCTATCACTTGACTTAAAATATTTTTGCCCTTCCTTGCGTTTTAAGGAGTGCCCTTTGTCGTGCTGATGTTGCTACATGCCTTACTTCTTTCCTATCTCACACTACGAATTTTTTCTAAGCTCTATACTAAACATTAAATCTGTTACAAAAAAAGAACTAAACAAAATGAACACAAAACGATCAGCTTTAAAAAAGGACTCGTAACTGGAAAAACCGAATGAAAAATAGATTCTTCCTGCCTATTCGTGGCAGCCAGCTATAAACTCTCACTCTGGCCACTACAAAATGGCCGTAAACTACATGAAAATTGCCGTAGAAGCATGAAAAAATCGATTATTTCCACTATCGATGGGAGTTGGGAAATGCAAAGTCGGTCTTGGCCTTCCCATTAACTTGGAGCATGTGCATGTAAATTTTGGTGCAAATCCGTCGAAAATTGTGGCCGGGCATTCGTTACACCCCCCCACACATCCTGCGTTTTATATATATATATATATATATATATATATATATATATATTGCTGGATGGTGTTAGTGGTGAAAAAACCTGGAGGTTTTTTTTTGTCGGTTGTTCTTTTTTTACTTAGAAAGTCATAGAATTCAATGCTGAATCATCAAACGCACGTGCACCAGCAATACAAGCATAAACATTTGGATAGGCAAAACATTTCCGTTCTCTTTCATTCATTCGTACCATTCTATTTACAAATCTATTCAAACTGACGTCACGTGTAACTTTAGTTACACGTGACGTCATTTTGAACACAGCATTCATATAATCTTCCCCGACTTTTAACTTTGTCACTACATGAGACAAATAAGTGGACGTTATCAATGTGCATTTGTTCCCAGCGTCTAAATTTCCTTTCATAGAAAAACTTGCATACCGAATAAAGACATGTCCTCAATTTTTCTGTTACATATCTATAAATATCTGTGAAGTGTTTTAACAGAGGATATAAAGTGCGACACTGAAATCCGAAGGCCCATCGGCATAACCAAAGATGCCTTCCAAAATCTAAGCAGAGTATTAAGAAACAGAAAAACTTCGTTGGAAACATTGAAAAGACTGTTACATGATATCTATCCTCTTGTATGGCCGCGAACCACTGAACGAACATGTGATCAACGATGTGGTTTCAGAGAAAATGGAAACAAATAGGAAACTTAACACCAGGAAGAAATTTCTAGGACTGGTAATGAGGAAAGCAGGCTTGTAAAATCTGGTACTCACATTTGAAAACGACCTGCCGATTTTCCTTTGTATCGATATACGTGACTTAGTCGCATATTCTTAAGGTTTTTCTTTTCTTCTTTTTTTTTCCTATCTGATTTGTCCCTTCAGGATTTGAGCGGTCATAACTCCCCATAATTTCTCCTCCTTTTGAGCTCTATTTTTCTATCATCCAATCGCTTTTTAGCCAACCATCCACACACTCCTCTTTGTGTACGTCAAGTGCTGCTTTCCTTTGCTCAACCGGCCTTCAATTAAACCAGTGAGTGTCAAATTTTCAAAGCCCTATTTCTTCATTATATGGAAGTTCAATAATCTCTTTCTAATACTCTCTACAGGTGACTTTTTTACTTCCATTTTCTCAAAAACATCGCCATTGCTCACATGACCAGTCCATGATATTCCTAGTATCGTTCTGGAAGCAAACTGCCTGCATATAGGTAAAAAATTAATTCAAAAAGTATACAAAAATAGAAGGGGATGTAAGACAAGGATGCGTCTTCTCGTCAGACTTTACAGTGAAACAATCTTGAGAGAATTAGAAGTCCTACAAGGATTCATTATTGGCGGCCACAATCTTAACAACATTAGATATGCAATTGACACATTGTTGATACCAGACACAGGAAATAAACTGCAGGAACTTCTACAGAAGTTACTAAAGGAAAGCAAGAAGAAAGGACTAAACGTAAATTGTAAGAAGACAGAATGCAGCTTGTCAATAAAAGGAACAGCACAAAATGCCACTTACAAATTGTAGACACCAAAATCAAACATGTATATAGATTGAAAGATCTGGGAAGTGTTTTAATAGAGGACGGAAAATGCGGGAGCGAAATCTGAAGGCGTATTGGGATAGCGAATGATGCCTTCCAAAAGCTAAGCGAAGTATTAGGAAACAGAAACATTCCTTTCGAAACAAAGAAAAGAGTACATAATTGTTATGTAATATCAGTGCTCCTGTATGGCAGTGAATGCTTAGACAATCTAATGAGAGATGAAGAAGAGTCTTGAGGCAATAGAAATGTGATTCCTAAAGTTACTGAAGTAACTTCTGGGGATTCAGAATACACGTACAAGTCTCGGGCTGGCCTGTTGGCTTAGGCTTCAGAATGCGCATACTGCAGTGATTTTCTACGCGTAGCTTAGATGTGGCACAAGGCCGAAAGTATGGGACACCCAGTGAGGATCGAATTCAATATTCAGACGTAAACGGTTTGGTAAGGAAAACTTGCTAACGATTACACAACGTCGAAGTGCACACATTTTTAGTAAATTTATGTAGTGATAGTAATTAAAAAAAACTGCATTTATTTTTAAGTTTATAATTACATTTCTTCATGGCAATGATTTTATTTAAA